AGTTCTTTAAGTTGTGAGGTTAGGTAGTCTATTCAAGATTTTTCTTCTTTTTTGAGGTAGGCCTGTAATGCTATGAACTTCCCTCTCAGAACTGCTTTCGCTGCATCCCATAGATTTTGTGTTGTTGTGTGTTCATTTTTGTTGGTTTCCAGGAAGTTTTTGATTTCTTCCTGGATCTCTTCGGTGTCCCATTCATTGTTTAATAACATTCTTTTTAGCTTCCATGTGTTCAAATGTCTTTTTATGTTCTTCTGGCAATTGATTTCTGGTTTCATACCATTGTGGTCTGAGAAGATGCTTGATATAATTTCAATCTTCTTGAACTTGTAGAGACTTAGTTTGTGCCCTAACATGTGGTCTATCTTTGAGAATGTTCCATGTGCACTTGAGAAGAATGTGAATTCTGTAGTTTTGGGGTGTAGTTCTCTGTAGATATCTATTAAATCCATTTGGTCTTGTGCTTCATTTAGAATCTCTGTTTCCTTGCTAATTTTTTGTCTAGATGATCTATCCATTGATGTGAGTGGGGTGTTGAAGTCCCCTGCTATGATTGTATTGCTATCGATTTCTCCTTTGAAGTCCTCCAATAGTTTTTTAATATATTTTGGTGCTCCTATATTGGGTGCATATACGTTTATCAAGGTTATATCTTCCTGTTGGATTGATCCTTTCAATATTACGTAGTGGCCTTCTTTGTCTCTTCTTTGTCTTCAATCTGAAGTCTATTTTATCAGATATAAGTATTGCTACCCCAGCTTTTTTTTCCTTTCTGTTTGCTTGAAAGATTTTTTTCCATCCCTTCACTTTCAATCTATGTGAGTCTTTTGTTGTGAGGTGGGTCTCTTGTAAACAACATATAGATGAGTCATGCTTTCTTATCCAATCAGCTACTCTGTGTCTTTTTATGGGAGCATTCAGTCCATTTACATTTAAGATGATTATTGATATGTACTTATTTATTGCCATTTTTGTTTAGTGTGGCTCTATTTTCCTTCCCATGTCTCCTGGTAATTACAGCAGTCCTTTTAACATTTCTTGCAGTGCTGGTTTGGTGCTAATGTATTCCCTTAGCCTTTTTTTTGTCTGAAAAGCTCTTTATTTGACTTTCTATTTTGAATGATAGCCTTGCTGGGTAGAGTAGTCTTGGATTCAGATCCTTGTTTTTCATGACCTTGCTTACTTCATGCCATTCCCTTCTAGCCTGTAGTGTTTCTTGTGAAAAGTCAGCTGAGAGCCTTATGGGGTTTCCTTTGTAGGTAACCTGTTGCTTATCTCTTGCTGCTTTTAGGATTCTCTCTTTGTCTTTAATTTTTGGCAGTTTGATTACTATGTGTCTTGGTGTGGGCCTGTTTGGGTTCTTCTTACTTGGGGCTCTCTGAGCTTCTTGAACTTGAATGCCTTCTTCCTTCACCAAATTAGGGAAGTTTTCTGTCACTATTTCTTTGAATATATTCTCTAGCCCTCGCTTACTTTCTTCTTCTTCAGGGACTCCTATGATGCGAATATTATTCCGTTTCCAGTTGTCCCACAGTTCTCTTAAGCTCTCTTCCTGTTTTTTAATCGTTTTTTCCTTTTGGTTTTCTGATTGGTTGATTTCTTCTAGCCTGTCTTCTAATTCACTGATCTGGTCCTCAGCTTCCCCTACTGTGTGTTTTTCATTTCTGATATGTCATTCTTCATTTCTTCCTGTTGGTTTTTCATTTCCAGCTGGTTTATTTTCAACATTTCTATGTCTTTACTCATATTGCTCATGTCCTTACACATGCTGTTGAGCTTCCGCAACATCATGGCTCTAAATTCTAGTTCTGTTAACTTGCTTAACTGCACCTCATTTATTTCATCTTCTGTAGAGGTCTCTTTTTGTTTCATTTGGCTTTTGTTTCTGTTTCTCCCCATTTTGGCTATCACAGTGGGCTTTGGAGTCTGCCAAGTTTTCCCAGTGGGTGTTCGTTTTCTGCTGTTTGTGGCTCCCTCTCCTGGGTTTGGATGCGCCAGGGAGGACCCACTTTAAACACCACCATCAAATCTTAGCTTTTCTGGTTAGTGTTGCTAGCCCAGGGAATGGTAGTTATCCTCTAGCTTTTTTTTTTTTGCCTGGAGGCTATTAGTAGAGGTCACCTGCAGACCCTTGGTTTCTGAGTTGCCTGGAAAACTCCCTCAGGTGCTCAGTGTATGAGGATTTCCTGAGAGTGAGGCAGGTGTTCCTTGTTAATGGGCCTCAATTAGCATTTCAATGGCCACCAGGTGGGGTTGAATCTCTGAGGGAGGGGCCACCTCCTCTCCCCAGGGCCCTGAGAAAAAGTAAAATGACCACAGTCCTGCATGGCTGCTCTCAGCGAAAGCTCTTAGCACCCTCCAAAACCTGAGTGTCCCCACACAGTTCCAGTCCAGTCTGCCTTCCCTCCGCTGGAGCCCAAGGTGAGTGGCTGCTGCCAATTTAGCCTCTGTCCGGACTCTGCGTCCTGGAGCCACCTGGGACTTTTAACCCGAGGGTGCTGCTTCTAGTCAAGGGCGGCTGCGGCTGTGGCACCAGCTGAGGGGGTTGCACTCGGCAGAAGCCCCAGGACTGAGCCGCGGTAGCGGGACACTGCAGAGGTGGCAGTAGCGTCTAGCACAGTCCCCTGGTCCACGCGAGTCCGTGCGGAGCCCGCCGAGGGCTTAGCACGCAGTTCGAGGGACTCAGCCTTGGTAGCAGAATCCCGCCGAGTCCCCTGGTCTCCGGGAGTCTGTGCGGCTCCAGCCGAGAGCTTAGCCGGCTACAGAGTTCCCCAGGCCCATGCAGGGTGGCAAGGGAGACAGTAGGAGTAACTTCCCGCCGTACTGGCACAAGAACAGGCATATAGATCAATGGAACAGAATAGAGAACCCAGAAATGGACCGAAGGCAATATGCTCAATTAATATTTGACAAAGGGGGCAAGAGCATACAGTGTTGGGAATAAATGGTGTTGGGAAAATTGGACAGCTACATGCAAAAAAATGAAACTAGACCTCAACTTACACCATACACAAGAATAAACTCAAAATGGATAAAAGACTTAAATGTGACTCATGAATCACATGAAGAAACTGTAGGCAACAAAATCTCAGACATCATACGCAGCAGAATTTTCACTGATACATCACCTAAGGCAACAGAAACAAAGGAGAAAATGAACACATGGGACTACATCAAACTAAAAAGCTCTGCACAGCAAAATAAACAACCACCACAATGGAAAGGCTACCCACTCAATTGGGAGAACATAATTGCCATAGATACATCAGATAAGGGGTTAATTTCCAATATATATATATAGAGTGCTCATACAGCTCAACAAAAGGAAGACAAAGAACCCAATTAAAAATGAGCAGCCCTGGATGATTTGGCTCAGCGGTTAGAGCGTTGGCCTGTGGTCTGGAGAGACCTGGGTTTGTGTTCCCACTAAGGGCGCGTACCTCGGTTGCCGTTCGTTCCCCACCCTGGTTGGTCGTGTGGGTGGCAGCCACTCAATGTGTCCCTTTCACATCGATGTTTCTCTCTCTCTCTTACTCTCTCTCCCTCCCACTCTATCTGAACAAAAAATGGAAAAATGTCCTCGGGTGAGGATTAAAAAAAAAAAAAAATGGGCAGAGGACTAAATAGACACCTCTCCACATAGGACATACAAATGGCTAAGAGACATATGAAGAAATGCGCAACATCACTAATCATCAGAGAGATGAAAATTAAAACAACAATGAGGTATCACCTCACACCTGTCAGAATGGCCGCCATCAACAAATCATCAAACAACAAGTGTTGGCGAGGGTGTGGAGAAAAGGGGACTCTAGTGCACTGCTGGTGGGAATGCAGACTGGTGCAGCTGCTATGGAAAACAATATGGTGTTACCTCAAAAAGTTAAAAATTGATCTTCCATTTGACCCAGTGATCCCTCTTCCAGGAATATACCCTAAGAAGCCTGAGACACCAATCAGAAAGAATATATGTACCCCCATGTTCATAGCAGCACTATTTACAATAGCTAACATCTGGAAACAGCCCAAATGTCCATCATGGACAAATGGATAAAAAAGCGGTGGTACATATACACAGTGGAGTACTATGCAGCCGTAAGAAAGAAAGATCTCTTATCCTTTGAGATGACATGGAGGGACCCGGAAAGTATTATCTTAAGCGAAACAAGCCAAGCAGAGAAAGATAAGTATCATATGATCTCACTTATTTGTGGAATATAATGAACATAACAGTCTGAGGAACGGGGTAGTCCCAGAGATGTAGAAGTGGGGTACAGACTGACACTCCCCAGAAGGGGGGTGGAGACAAACCATAGAACTTATACGCATGTGTGCATGAACAATGGACATGGACAACAAAGCTGGGGACGGGACAGGGCAGGGAGGGAGACGAGGGGGTATCAGTGGGGGAAAAAAGAGAAACATCTGTAACAAAAATAAATAAATAATTAAAAATAAATAAAAACTGTAAACACTGGAACAAAATTTTTTATTGACTTTAGAGAGGGAGGAAGGGAGAGGGAGAGAGAGAGAAATTATTGGTGTGAGAGAGAAACAAAGAATATCCACCAGCTGCCTCCTGCATGCCTTCCACTGGGAATTGAGCCCGAAACCCAGGCATGTCTGGGAATTGAATCTTCAACCTCTCAGTAAACGGGATGATGCTCAACCAATGGAGCCACACCGGCCAGGGCATGATACAAGAATCTCTGCAGAAGCCTGCTAGCAGGAATGCTGACTGGTACTTCAACCATGAGGGCATTTTCAAACACACAGGACAAACACACCAGGCTCTGAACTGCCCTTGCCATTGGCAAAAGCAAGTGAGATGGCCAAGTCCAAAGTGAAGGAGTGGGGATGTACTGTCCACCTATGGTCGAGCCACACAAGGGCACAGACCCAGGGAGGAGTATGGGCAGTCATTCTGTCATCCGCTGAGACCATCCCAGGGCAGAATGTGATGGGAAGGACTCGGGTCTGGTGCTAACTGGGCCCTCTTCCAGGTGGGATTGGCTGTGCCTGTTCTTGTCTCTGGTTCCCTCTCGTGTACGATGACCCTGAGGACCATCCCTTTATCAGCACTGGTGAGAAGGACTACATCGTGGGTTCACTGGCTCAGCAGGTGCCTTGGCAACTTCTCTGCCCCTTTCCTGTGCCTGTGTAGGCGTCTCAGAGGTATGGTGTCTTCTGTTGGAGGGGACATTGGCACCTGTTTTCTTTTAGGAGGACTGTGCCCCAGACAGGTCTCTTCCCATCAAAGCCATGGTCAAGTCCCTGCCTCTCTGGAGCATTTTACTGTCTCAGTTCAGTGAAAACTGGTATTTCTATGTCATGATGGCGTACTTGCCCACGTACCTCAACTCCGTACTTCAAGTGGACCTCAAAGGTGTAAGTACAGAGAGGGCTCATTTGTTCCTGTATTTAAATGCTTCATTGTATAACCCTCTGTCTCTGCTGTGTCACCAAATCAGGGGATTGAGCCCAAGACCTTCAGGTAGGAAATGCAACTCAAATTCTGAACCATCTCCGTGTGGCCTCCTGCTTTGGGGGGTGGGGGGCAGAATCGTATGGTTCTAGATCCGCTTGACATTCAAAGGGTGCCATGTTTTTGAAGGGACCTATGAAAAAATTCTGCGTTGAACCTGACTGACATTTGCAAGCAGGACTCTAAACATTTGCAGCAGGAAGAATAAAGCATTAACCAAATCATTCCGCCCTGGTGGGGTGGCAACAGAAGCACAAACACCATACACTAAACCACACGTGTCAATGGGACATCACACACCCTGACCAGAATCAAACCTGCCATCTTTTTTGTGGGGGATGATGCTCTAGCCAATGGAGCCACCTGTCCAAAGCTGGATTTTGTTTTTTTTTAAACATCGATTTCCTGGTGATTTTTATATATGGAGAGAGCATTCATCCCCTTTCCCCCAAAACTGAACTATGTGCATATTTCTCAGAAATTCCACCGGCTCGTTCCAGTGGTGTGGGGTTGGTATGAAAGGTGATGTGTAGACAGGACACTGGGGACTGACCTGTGTCGTGCTGGGGCGGGGTGCGTCTCACCCCATTGTGGTCCTCAGAGTGGCTTCCTGTCGGCCCTTCTGCTCGCTGTGGCCTTCGTCAGCGTCATCCTGGGTGGACTGCTGGCGGATCTTCTCCTCTCCAGGAAGGTGCTCACACTCATCGTCATCAGGAGGCTCTTCACCGCCACAGGTGAGGGCCCAGGTGGATGGGGCTGGGTGTGGACAGCTGGGGCAGCTTTCTGGTCTCCTGTGTCCTCCTGCCCCAGGGGTTCTCTTCCCAAGTGTGCTCTCCGTGCTCCTGCCCTGGGTCAGCTTCAGCCTCGGCATCACCATGGCCTTCTTGGTACTGAGTTTCGCCACCAGCAGCCTCTGCCAAGCAGGATCCCTTGTCAACTTCATGGACATTGCTCCTAGGTAAGGACCCCTTTGCCTCATTGTTACCCACAGGAGCTCAGTTCGGGTCCATTGGCCCTAAGCCTGCTGTGACCATGTGTCAACATATGAATAGGTCACAGGAAGTGTCAGCACTAACCCTACATCCAAATGTATCCGAAAGGGCTCCAAAGTGAGTCAACCATTTTTCTCTGCTGGGGAAGGCAGGACTCACCCAGGTTCAGGTGACAGGGCATGCACCTTTAGGGCTTAATAAAGCTACAGGACACAGGTAGCACGAGGAACATCACCTCTGGCACAGGAGAGCATCAGAAATGACTGAGACTCCACATGCAGCCCCCAGTGTCCTTTTCTCAACGGGACACACTCCATCTTCAGATAATGGTCCGCCAAGACATGTGGGAGACACCTTGTCTCCGGGAAGCCCATGTCTTATCCAATGAGGGGTCTCGTATCCCCCAAAACAAGGCTGCCAGGTCAGACTTCATAGCAGAAGCCAAGAGAACATACAGTCATCCCTCGTTTATCGCGGGTAATCCGTTCCAGACTCCAGCGGCTGCACCTGGTGTTGAAGGATCCCTTGGGTGCTCGAATACATAGGCCTACAGTCCACACGTACAGTAATTTTAATTTTAATTGTAATACAAGGGTGTATAATTGACTCAGACAATTGAGCGCACGCTGCATCACTTTCACTGTCTCGATCATCAACTTTTTAATGAATATATTTTAAAAAACCACGATAAAATGAAGCCGCCAAAGTCGAAGCGCGAAGTGGTGAGGGACGACTGTATAAAATAGATCAAACCATCCATCTATATATTTTGTATAAATATTGACAAGTTGGTACAGGTCACCCCTTGGGTATTGCAGACCCTGGCACAGGATGATGACAATCTCTGGTCAGTATGTTTGGCTCGGGTGACGAAGGGTCGGCACAACTCCAGGCCGCTCCGGGGATAAGCACAGGATGGCAGCAGACCAGCTGGGATTAACCTTTGCCTGTGGGCTCTCTCTCTCAGGTACACTAGCTTTCTCAGGGGGCTATCACTGGTCTTTGCTCAACTGTCAGGAGTCATCGCTCCCACAGTTTCCGGATTTTTCATCAGTCAGGTGAGGTCAAACATTGTGATGACACCATTTGGGAGGTGAAGCGCCCGCAGAAGCCAGATGAGGGGTGTTGTGTCCCTTCCTCAGTGTGGCTCGGCCTGAAGCTCAGAGTCCTCTGCACCCACGTTCGGAGTATGGAGCGAGGCAGCGTGCTTGTGAGTTGGTGCTTTGTGAGTTCTTAGAAGAGTTTCTCATGCTTTGTCACGCACACCTTTCTTCACATCAAGTCTACACCCTTAGACTCTTAGGAAATGAACTAGTCTGTTTTGACAACTTTGAAGGCATCTCATGCTCGTCATCGAATCCCATAGCAACATTATGGCATTTCCTGTGAAGCAGAGGACGGCCCACCGGTGCAGTTTGCATGGGAGTGGGTTTCCTGCGGTGTGGGACTTTCCATCCTAAAGCCTTGAAAGCTCCCAGCAGTCTGGAAAGTGTTGGTCACCCCATGCAGGAACCCAACATTTCACAGAATGAAAGAGTGAGCGAGAGGCTGAGTGGGCAGGGAAGCAGCAGTCAGCACCTGCTGTGCCTGCTCGTGGTGCCACCAAACATCCTCTGCCCTGAACCCTCCACATGGTGCGTTGGCATCTGAACAGCCTCCATCCTGGGGGATGCCTTCAAAGTTGTCAAAACAGACTAGTTCATTTCCTAAGAGTCTAAGGGTGTAGACTTGATGTGAAGAAAGGTGTGCGTGACAATCACAAGAATACCATTCTTTACGTTTGCTGTGGGTTTCCACCAGGAAGTCAGGACATCACATCCTTTGTCATTTGATGCTTTGGTTCCCTTTCAGCCACTGACTCACACATGTCAGGAAATGGTTGTTTAAAATGGAGATGGTCAGTGACCATGTCTGCCTTGCCATTCGTCCTCCCTCCCTTCCTTCCTTCCACAAATATGGGTCCATCCTGAGCACGCACCGTGCACTACGTTAAGAAACCAATAGAAAAGGAAAGAAATACGCAACATACAGCACAGTTAGTGGTGAACTGTTAACAGAAGAGTAAAGCAAGAGAAGGGAACAGGGCAGTGAGAAGGTGGGATTTCCATTTTAAATAGGGTGGTCAAGGAAGAACTCATTAGAAAAACGATATTTAAACAAAGACAGGAAGCAAGCAAGGTAGAGAGAGACAAATGGTGGTGGGGGAGGACAACCCTCAGAGGGACAGGCCGGTGCCCGGGAATGTACCTGCAATTCCAGGGACAACCAGGACTCCCACGCAGTCTGCAGCAGAGCTGGGGTGGCGGCAGCAGAACCCAGTGCCACAGCCTTCTGAACCGGGAGGGAGGGACAAGAATGGGTGGCTGCTAATAACCTGCAGTTTCCTGTCTCCAGGACTCAGAGTTTGGTTGGAGAAACATCTTCTTGCTTTCAGCAGCTGTTGACATATCAGGCCTGGTCTTCTACCTTGTCTTCAGCCAAGCAGAGGTGCAAGACTGGGCTAAAGAGCAGACCCTCACCCGCATGTGAGCTGACGATGTGCCTAGGTCCAACGCTTCAGGGCTTGTTTCTGCCCCCCGGGACATTCCCCTTGTATCTGTCCCCCCCCGCCCCCGACATCCCCTTTTGTGCTTTCATTGAACTGACTTCGTTTCTAGCATCTTAGGGGCCTTGGCTATGTAATCCTGAAGGTTCTGCCTGGAGATTTTATTGGGGGATGGGGTGGGAGAAGGAGACTAGTTATTTAAGTGTGAGCTCCTGAAAGCGTAGATGTGTCCGAATTTCTGTGTGTTCTGTACTCTTTCCACTGCTACTGTGACAATGATGCAAATTTGGTCTGCGCCCCCCCCCCACCCCCCCACCCCCAGTTTCTGGCACAGAAATTCTAAAACCTTTGTATCTACTGAGTGGTGGGATAAGAGTATCTTTAGTGATAATATTGGGTCTTAGTCCCCTGCCCCTGTCCTGAAAGCTGTGGAGACCCTTGGAATTTCTGGAACAACGAGTGTCTGTCTGGTGCACAGGTGAGAGGACTGGCAGGGCCTTCAGCTCCGCCATCTCACCTTCTATGGAGGAAGGGCTGGAGATTCAGTTGTTCATCAATAGCTGCTGATTTTTTTTAAATCCTCACCCGAGGATACTTTTCTATTTATCTTCAGATAGAGTGGGAGGGAGAGCAAGAGAGAGAGAAAGAGAGAGAGAGAGAGACATCGATGTGAGACAGATCAATTAGTTGCCTCACACACAACCCTGACCAAGGCTGGGCACTGAACCACAACTGAGGTATGTGCCCTTGACTGGAACTGAACCCACAACTCTTTGGTCCGCGGGCTGATGCTCTAACCACTAAGCCAAACTGGCCAGGGCAATGACTGATGATTTAACAATCGGGCCAATGCACTAAAATTTCTATAAAAACCCTGAATGGCGGTTCCGAGAACTTCTGGGTGGGAACTGTAAGTCCCAAGAGGGATTATGTCCAAACATCCAGGAGATGGACCCTGAGAGCTGCCATCAGAGAAAAGCCTGAAACAATAAAAGCCATAGTGTATACAGCCCAAAGTCCTGGGCCCGGGGACCAGAGCAGGCGAAGTCAAGTGAGGAGAGATGCCAGGCACAGGACATCCAGGTGAACATTTCCAAGGAAAGGGCAATAGAGATGGAATCCATTGTAAGAAGAATGAACATGCCTGTAATTGATGGGAACAGGGGAGTGGACCTGGTGTGTTTTTTTGGGCAGATTACTTTAAGATTAAAAAAAATTATAATCTCTTATCAAGACCGCAAGAAAACTTTGTCTTGCCAGTAGACGAAGGAAAATAAAGTTCCAGTTTTACACAATAAATACACTACTGCTATTAAAGCTTAATTAAAAACCCTTTTAGCAATTTAATTTTAGCCAACTTGGCCACACCAGGTAAGATACTTTCTCTCTTCTCTCTTTCCAACTTTCATGTAATTTGACCTTTTAAGGAAAACGAAATTTTAATTTTGTACCTGCTTACTTTTGATATTAAAAATTCATTGATTTAACTTGCTTGAAATTCCTTTCTAAAGATTCCTTTCCTCAAAGCCTCTACAACTTTCTTTTCCCTAAAAAACTGAATCTCCATTATTTAATACTTTTTTAAAACCAAGAACACATCTTTTCTTGTTGCATATGGAGATGTAAAGGACAATTTTGTTTCCAATATCCTGATCTACAGGCATCTTGAGAGGTACTTTGGGGTTGGCAAAGATAGGTGGGCTCTGCCTTGCTCCGAGCTGCATTTCTGGTTCCATAGAGGTTTGTAAGACAGACAGTTGCTTCTAGTCACCCTTGAACCCTGGCCTCTGGCTATTCATATCCTGCCAGGAATATGCTGAGGAGACAGGGAGGGCTTTAAGGGGATTTACATAGGATGTTGGTTTTAAATCTAATTTCTGTTATTTCAACTTGTCAGTGAGTCTTTAAAGCTAGACATTATATTTTTGGTATCTAACTTTAAAAAAAATAGGTCTTTTTATAGGTACTAATAAAATAATTCTTCAAAAAGTTTTTCTAATTCAGAAGTTTCATCATCTGGCCATTGACTCAATACCACTCAAATCTGATAGCAACGAAACAAACAGCAAGGCCAAAGAAAACATTAGCTGTCCTGCTCCCTGTATAGGCATCCCCTGAGCTGTCACCTACCCTAGGTTTTTTTTTTTTTTATCCTCACCCGAGTACATTTTTTCATTCTTTGTTCAGGTAGAGTGGGAGGGAGAGAGGAGAGGAACAGAGAGAGAGAGAAACATTGATGTGAAAGGAACACATCGAGTGGCTGCCACCCACACGACGGACCAGGGCCGGGGACAAACCGCAACCGAGGCACGTGCCCTTAGCGGGAACCGAACCCAGGTCTCTCTGGACCGCAGGCCGACGCTCCAACCGCTGAGTCAAACCGGCCAGGGCTAGCCTAGGTTTTGAATAGCAGATTTAAAGATAGAAACTGCAGCCAGGTAATTGAGGAAATTCTAGTCACCCCATTGTGAACCCTCAGAAGGAGAAAAAAAGACAACATAAAAGGGCTCCCAAAGACGAAGTGGGATCAAATAAACCCTGCAGAGCATAGCAGCCTTTTCTAGGCAGGGTTCCCTTAGGAAAACTGCACTTTGTCGAGTTGCCTCCCCTCTCACAGGTACACCCAAGAACGGAACGGACTGCCTGCACAGCATTCCTGCCAGCCAAACCAGCCTTTATAAGGGTTTCCTGGTATTCTATTTCAACCAATAGGATTGAAGTTTTCCTCACCCAATTGGAATTGTGCAGCTCTGCCCAATCAGAACACTGCCTTTTGGACCAATCAAGTTGTGAAGTTTGGCATCTTTATTTGCATGAGGATGAACCAATCAGGGACCAGGGGGCTGGGACTTCTTTCCATGTAACCCAGCTTCCCTCTGGCTTGTTCAAGGCATTTTCTCACCAGAGAAGGAATGTTTCCGAAGTAACGAAGTTGGGGGGTGGGCCTTTCTGCTGACGAGGGCCACCTGCTCCCCCCGAACTTTCCACTTTGAGCTGGGTTGTGGCGCCATCCATTCACTACGCCTGTCCAAGCAGAATCCCTAGTTGTGTCATAATTTATTTAAACTTTTAAAAGAAAGCCTTCTTCCTCTGTTCACTTAACATTGTGTTAATGACTGTCATCCGTGGTGCTGTGTGTGTAACCCTTAATTCATTTCCGTTCTCTTGACAATTCGGTGTTTTCCTGTTGGGTTGTTGTAAATACAGGTCCTGTGAACACTAGTGTACGTCTGTTTATAATGCGTGTGCATTTCTAAGGGAAATGTCGAAGTCACAGGAACACCTATTTAGCTTCAGGAGGTTTTCCCTGCACCTTTCCACGGTTCTGACATGCCCTTGGGAAAGTGCCAGTTGCTCCGCGCCCTTGGACATCAGCTTGTTTCTGGCTTCTCTTATTTTACCCCTTCTGTTGGGTGTATAGTGGTGTTTCATGGCGGTTTTCACTTTGATGTCTGTGATGTTTACTGAAGTTAAGCACCTTTTCATATGTGTATAGGCTGCTTAGTTTCTCAGTCGCTGTTCAAGTCATTTGCCCACTGTGCTGTTGGGTTGTCAGCCTTTTTCTTTTTCCTGTATTTAATCTGCCTGCCCATTAGACTACTCGTATCTTTTTCCCTTACAGTCGTCCCTGGCCACTTCGCGCTTTGACTTTCGCAGCTTCACTCTGTCGCGGTTTTTTCAAATATATTCATTAAACATTGATCGAGACAGTGAAAATGATACAGCGGGTGCTTGGTTGTCTGAGTCAATTATACACCCATGTATTACAATTAAAATTACTGTACATATGGACTGTAGGCCTATGTATTCGAGCACCCCAGGGATCCTTCAAGGCCAGGTGCAACTGCTGGAGTCTGGAACGGATTAACTGAGATAAACGAGGGACGACTGTATTTCAGTTGTAAAAACTTCATTATAAAATCCCAGAAGGCAGAGCCAGACTGTTATTTTAGCATCACCATCAGGTCCTGATGATCTGTTTTCCTTAAATCACCTGCTCCACAATTCCTGCTGATTTGTATTAGGAAAGTCTCTTTATCTGCTCAATTAGCCCAGAGTCCTGGTCCCTGTGGTTTCCTGGGGCTTCTCAATATGGTGGGACTTTCTCTAGAACAATTGTGAGTGAAACCAGAGTCAGCTGTGTGTGTGTGTGGGGGGGGGCGGGGGGACCTAAAGGATGTGTTTTAGGTGTTAGGAGCCTGAATTAATTCCTGCTGGGGTTCCTAAGAGTGCTTGAGATTCTTGGAAAAATATGAACAAATTCAAATGATCTTTTTCTACCCTGAAAAGGAACTTCTCTGGTATGTGATATGTTTTTTTCTGTCGTTATATACACCTTAAGTATTCTGCCCTATGCAAATATCATTTCATTTGAAAACACCTCTGTTGTCTCCCTCCAATTTTCAGTAAATGGTCCAAGACCTCTTTGTCACTTTTGGAAATGCCCACCTTACTTCCCCCCGTTTCCTTTCTCACAAAAAGCTTTCTGATTCTGTCTTCTCCCCTGGTTTCATTTCCTCCGTCATTCATCTCCTGGCCGTTAATCTCCTGGAATTTAGCTGGGAGAAGTAAATACCTGTTTTGCCTGATGGAAATAATCCTAGTCTGAAAAATCTGAAAATGGTCTATTTAATTTTAGCATGTGAGTTTTAATAGCATTTTACCACATAAATAAACATCCAAGTTTCACAATATGTAAACACAATAAAAATGTTAATTCTGTGATTACAGTTTTCAAATTCTGTCCTGTGTGAAGCTCTCTATAACATATAACTATAGGTCCCAGCAGATCTTTGCTGTGTCCATAGTCACCTCCATGAAAGTACTTATCGATAATTATTTTCACATCGATTTTTATTCACCCAGTACTTTCCAAAGAGGAAAATTCAAAGGCAATAGTGATTGATGTTTCATGCGCGTCCAGCTGTTGTCACCCCTGGATGTGTGTTAGAAACCCTGAGGAGTGTCTAAAAAGTAACGGTGTCTGAGCACTGCCCCTGCCCAATGTGTTCAGGATCTCAGAGAATCCCCAGGGAAATCTGACACACAACCAGAGTGGAGAACTGCTGAGTCTCTGGCGAAAGACTTGGAGAAAGAATAAAGACAAGGGAGAAAGGTTGAAAGTTGAGGGTCAGTCTACACTGTAGTTTGCAGCTGTGTCCTCAGAGGCGGGTGAGGGTCCTCTCTTTGGCCCAGTCCTGGATTTCTGCCTGTCCAAACATGAGGTAAAAAAACAGCCCAAACATGTTGACAGCTGCAGACAGGAAAAAGACATTCTTCCATCCAGACACAGAATCCTGGAAACAAAACACCAGAGAGGCTGTCTCACAGGTCCCTTCGCCACCAGGTCCAGAAACCCTCCATTTCGTGCTACGGCGGTGCCGACCGCAGGGTTATTGCAGGGAACACACTGCAACAACCACGTGTCTTCAGTCATCGGAGGAGGTTTTATGAAATGTGGAAGCAAAATGACTCTCAAATGAACACTGGGCTCTGTGTTGGGATGGATTTTTCTTTAAAGCAAAAATAATTCACCCGCACTTAAGTTTTTTCTGGATTTGAGATCTCAACATTCTTAAAAATATCCTATTTCTCATTTAAAAGAATGCCTAAATGCCCTGGCCAGCTTGGCTCAACAGTTAGAGGGTCAGCCTGAGGAGGAGGGAGTTCGGGTTTGATTCTGGCCAAGGGCACATACCTTGGCTGTGGTTTGTCCCTGGCCCCGGTTGGGGTTGTGCAGGTGGCAGCCAATCGATGTGACTCTCTCACATTAATGTCTCTTTCTCTCTCCCTCCCTCCCACTCTGTCTGAAGATAAATGTAAAAATATATATATATCCTCGGGTGAGCATTAAAAAATAAATGAAATGAAATTATGCCTAAAATGACATCCAGGTCTCATATTCATGGGCTCTGCTTTGTGCTGTTTGAGGCCATCGGCATGAGTCACAGCCACCCCCAGAAGGGATGTTGCTGCAGCACCGCCTTGCGTGTGGCCGGCGGGCCTGACACTCCGCCTTGTGAGGGCAAGTTCGTCTCCGTCTCTGTAGACACGGTGCATTCCTAGCAGTCTAGTCAAAAATTCCCCAGAAACGAGGTCACATAAAAGTGTACTGAAAATGAAACGAAAATGTTTTTGTAGGTTGTTCTCGTTGTCTTTCCATCCGAGCCCAGCTTTGCCCACCTCACAGGGGCACGCCTCCTGGCTAAGCTCTGCTTTGTCTGTCATGACTGACCTCTTTAAACTGGCCTCGGAGACTTGTGTTTCCATTCTGTGGCTTTTTACAGTTGGCATGAGCTTGAGCAGACTCTCGGTCTTCTCTGCTCCACCCGCCTTCCTCTCTGGCCCTGACGTGCCCTTGGCTCTGGGCGTGGCCGAGAGCCTCTGCCTGTGTGTCCTGCTGTCTCTGCCTGGACCTTCACCTTCATCCAACAACAGTGTTCACTTTCAGAAATTCCGCTCTTTTTTTTTCCCCTGGAGGAACCTGAACTCCCAGAATCCCATTTAGAATGTGCTCTAAGGGGTGCAGTGTGTCACCACACTTGGCTCTCCGACCACGCAGTCCCAGAGAGCAGAGGCCCTGCCGTGCACCCCATCCCAGCCCCAAACACCTGCCCCTCACACGCGCTCAGCAAACTGGCCCCACCTGACCAATAAGGAACCCGGTGGCCGTGGAGGAGACGATCCCTGCGATGAGCCCGAATCCCCGTGAGATGCCCATGAGGAAGCTCGCGTACCTGTGGGAGATGATGGCGTGGCTGGATTCACAGAAAGCTACTCTGTCACACAGCAACGTCTCACAGCAGCCTTTTCTTAGACAGAAAGATGGCTTTTCAGCACCTCAGCCTGAATGCAGCTCAGCTGTAGCAGCAGCATCATTTAGCCCGATGCAGTATCTCAGTAACCTGGAGACATCCAGGCGGCATCTGTGCCAGCCCTGACATCACTTACCACCGAGCCCACAACCAGGGAACCACTCTGTCCCCCAGGAGCCCAGGTTCCCACCTGGCAATCTGTGGCGTGGACAGGACAGCAGACTCTGGACAAAATGCCCAGGTTCAGATCCTGGCTCTTCCTTTGTGACGTTAGGCATGCCACCCGACCTCCTGTGCCCAGCCTTCTCCTGACCCTGTGCGGATAGCAAGAGCGCCTGCCTCACCAGCTGTGAGGATGGACGTGTGGGCACACGAGGAGTCCCTCCAGGAGGGTTACCTGGTGGTGAGTGCACACAGATGCGAGACTGAAGGTTATCACCTTTTACCCGTGGGTCCGTTCCAGACCTACAGTCCACCTCTGCTGGAGCGGCTTGGGCAGCTCTTGTTCTAACAATGCTCAGATCAAGGCCACATGCTGACATTCCTAGTCATCTGTCACTATTCTGCCTCCTTTATTGTATGTCAACAACATGCAGGAGTCACAGGATACCTCTGGAGCAGCCTGGATGAGGGAACCAGCAAGTAAGGTCTTACCTGGGGGCGACATCCAAGGTGTTGATGATGAACCCTGAGTCACACAGGTTGCTGGTCCCAGGAATGAGTATCAGCAAAACAATGGTCGTCACGTAACTGGAAGCCACAAAGGGCAGGGCCACAGCACACAGCGACGGGAGGAGAAGCCCTGGGTAGGAAGGAGGCGGTCAGGTCCTGGTCAGAACAGGCTCAGAGGAGGGGATTGGTTCCCTGGACCCGTTTGCCTGTCCTTACCCAGGGATGAAAAGAGTTTTCGTACGGTGATCAGTCTGAGAAGGTTCCTGGACAGAAGGAAGTCAGCCAGCTGACCTCCTAGAATCGTACACGTCGAGGCAGCGACAAAGGGCAGGGAGGACAGGACCCCACTCTGGGGGAAGGAAATTGATCCGGTGAGGACAGAGCACAGAGCACCAAGGTCACACGGCTCCGCCAGCCCCCTCCTGAATCGTGTGGTTGTGAGGGAAGCAGTATCACTGTCTCGGGTGAGAGGGCCAGTGCTGCCTGACACTGTCTCCAGAGACCAGAGATACTAATTTCTAGGGAACGTGGAGAGTTAAGAAGCAGGGTGGCCATGCGCGTGGTGTAAGGACACACACTGCAGCCGCTCTGTCCTTGAGCAGACGTGTGGTGTCACGGAGGGTTTCGTCTCACCTCTGCGTGTCCTATTCCACACCTGTGCCTCTCTCCAGGTCGCTGTGAGGGTTAGATGGTTACAGGCAAAGCCAGACTGTACTAGGAAGCGTAGAAATAATTCTCACTGCCAACGTCTTTTTCGTAGATGTGTGAGAAGCACACTCACCTCTCCGATGTTTACATGGAGCACAGAACGGATGTATGTTGGCAGGTACGTTACGATGATGGTGCATAACCAGAAGTGGCTGAAAAAGCCCATGAAAATGGCCCACAGAGGCAGGCATCTGGCCATGGCCTTGATGGGAACAGAGCGTCGGCGGGAAGTGGACTGAAAAAAAAATTGCTAGTCTACATGGGTGTTAGAACAGGCAGGAGGGCCCTCTGGGAGCCCGCCCCACCCTGGGGTCTCTACATGGCCACAGGTGGAGGGGTGCACGGTACCTGCTGAGCCAGCGAGGCCACGATGTGCTCCTTTTCCCTGATGCTGATGCATGGGTGACGCATGGGGTCATCGTAGATCACTGTGAACCACAGCAGAGAGCACACGCAGCCAAGGCTACCTGGAAGCCGGGACTCAGTTAGTTTTTGGGTAGGTCTGTGAGCTGCAGGAAGGGGTGAGTCTGAAGTGGGCCACCTCCTCCCCAAACACACACGGTTCATGGTTACTTCACCCCAGGACCTCCATGTTCCCACCTCTTCACATCAGTTCTTCTACACATCTCCATGCAACTAAGGCTCTCCAGACACCGTCTCTCAAACAGAGACTGCCGTTTGTCAAGGTCGGTGCCCTCTGCGGACAGCACGAGCATAGACCTGCCGTCACACTGCACGCTAGTTATCCTGGAACTCAGGGTTACAGTGTCATATGGCATTAGCAGCGATTTTAGTTCACACAGTATTGTCTAATTTTGGAAGACCTGAACAGTCAGGACTGAAGATGAGAGTTGTACGGGCATGAAATAAGCCCACAGAATCAGTGTGGCGAAGGAAAGCCCGCCAACACGGCCGTGAAGGACAGTGCCCTTGTACCCAAACGGCACATCCGTTGTGGATTTCCAGAAGAACTGCTTCTTGACAGTATTGATCTACATGGGAAGACCAAAGGGGCCTGGGATCAGCATCGTTAATGAGGAAGCTGTCGGAGCCTGAGCCATAGTGAGTGGCATCCTTCAGCTACAACAGGACAGACTTGTGTCATTGCTGAGACTTGTTGCTTGAAGAAGGTTTTATGTGAAAAGGTTCTGGGGACTAATGCTCTTTAAATTCCCCCTAATTACTGGGTCTGGCCACTGTCTGGTTTATAAAGCTGTGGGTCAGGAACTACGGTAGTGCAGTGTATCGTAGGATGGACCCCGTGACTGGAACATTCCACAGTCCGTGGAGAGGGACGAGAGGACGCGGCACAGCCCAGAGAAGGAGCATCGGTAAGCACCTCGGGGACAGAGAAACGGGATCGGACGGGGTAAGTCCCGTCCTCTCCACAGGGAAGGTGGTTTAAATTGAGGTTTACAAGGTTAACCTGGTAGGGAACAGGTGATGGGCCTCTGGAAATCATGACCATGATGAAATATTTACAGCTACACGTGGAGGCGAGCTGGTGTGCCGAGGGTGGTAGACACTTTACAGAGGATGTCCTCTCGGTCTCTCCAAAGTGGGCGACTCTCCAAAGTGTGACTGGGCACAGTCACCTCTTAGCCCAGAAAAGGAAAGCTACCAATCTGCAACAGACTTCGATGTCATCTGCCGAACAAAGGACCTGCCCTGTCCTATGGAAAGATGTGCTGGATGCCTGGGTCACGGAGGCATCAGGGACGAGAGACTGTGACTCACCGAAGATGTAGAAGATGAAGGGCCAGCCCAGGGCCTGCGAGATGAGCCCCCCAACACAGAGGATGATGAAGGACCCAACCGCTGCTCCTGAGGGAAGAGGGAGAACAGCACTGTGAGCACAGTGAGGGCTGGGGCCGCATGGCCTGGACATTGTCCCAACATTGAGGTGGCAGACCTGGAATTACTGGGTGATGAGAGTATTTCTTGTTGCTCAGATCTCCCCAATAAAGTTATGTGAAGAAATAGAATTAATAATAAAAATGACATGCCCCTTCACACCAGCCTGACCAAATCCACAGCCCACCTTAGTTCCTTAGAACCAGAGTTACATTCTGGCAGCATGCCACCGGCTGGGACAGAAAAGGACAGACTGACACAAATTAATATGACAGTCCCTGCTCTCAAGGACAGCTCAGCCCAGGTGGGCAGAAAAGCATGAACAAAATTCACTGTCAAAAGTACAATTCACTGTAGATTCTGAACACAGTTCACAGAGACCTCCAGTAAGCAATGTGTTGTGCACAGCAACACACCCTCAACCAAGCTTCAAGACTCTACTTAGCCTTACCACATGCAGTCCACTCCCACAGCTTTCTATTCTATTCTATTCTATTCTATTCTATTCTATTCTATTCTATTCTATTCTATTCTATTATCTTGTCCTATCCTGATCTGATCTATTCTATTCTATTCTATTCTATTCTATTCTATTCTATTCTATTCTATTCTATTCTATTCTATTCTATTCTATCCTGTCTTGTCCTATCCTGATCTGATCTATTCTATTCTATTCTATTCTATTCTATTCTATTCTATTCTATTCTATTCTATTCTATCCTATCCTATCCTACCCTACCCTACCCTATCCTATTCCATTTTATTCTCTTTCATTTTTAAATATTGATTTTTGACTCACTTGATAGATTATATAACCCTGCCAATGGGTCCCAATTTGAAAACAAAAGATGTAGGATATAAATGTAATGAAACTACAGTGTGCTATGAAAGTGTACATGAGGAGAAAGAACAGTGATGACACATTTAGGAGTTGTTTACATGAGCTAAGCCGGAGGGTGCTTGGCATGTTGGTAAAAACTGCTGGAAGCAGAGGACTTCCCGGAAAAGTGAGACAGCAGGGAGCAGCGCGAGTGAGAGCTGAGTGCAGGGTGCGTGTGGCATGGCCTGAGCCTTGCTGACGGGCGGTTGTGGGGGGCGGAGCTGGGCAGACCATGCAGCAGAGCACCTTGGTGTCCGTGCCACACGGAGGTGGGTCTTTATCTGCAGTCCCAGAGGAACATGTTGACCATTCCCAAGCAGGTGAGCATAGCCACTCATACTTTGGGGAGACAATGTGGCTTTGGTGGGAAGAGAGGGTTGGAGGGAACAAAGCTGGAGGGTGGAGAAGACCAGCTGGGAGCACTTGTAGATTGAGGAGTTGGGACCACCACAACAGGAGGGTGCTTTGGAGTGAAAGTCACTGGACCTGGAGGGAGAGGCTTGAAGGAACCTTGGTTCTGTTCAAGGGCACACCCTCAGCGACCAGCATGGCAGAGTAATGATGAAGCTGCAGTTCTTAGGAAGATCACACACCATGTCCAGTGTGGTGACTAAGTGTGTGCTCCTGGGACAGACTGCCTGGGCTCCAGTCTCAGTTCTACCACATGCTGGCTATTGCTACTGGGGAGATTTAGGTAATCTGTGCATATATTAGTTCTCTCCTTTGAAAGGGAAAGTTAAAAGTAGTACTCAAATCAGAGGGTTGTGAGGTTAGCTGAGAATACCACAGAGCTCCGAGTTACAGCTTCTACTTCCCAACCCTTCTCTCCTTTCCACCCTGAATTCCAAGTCTCCATTCTCACGGGGTCTCTCTGCTGAAATGGTCCCACATGGTTTTCCCCACGATGCTTTTGGAGTTCACAGTGTCCCCTTCTATCTGAGCCTCAGTAGCGTCCCGTATCCATTATGTAACCATCTCACATGGTTGAATTTGGGGAAGAACTTGAATCCTTCTCCTCCAAACCACCCCATGCACTGACGGGAAGATGTGGGAGGTGAAGCTGGTATCAAAGCTGCGGTCCACAGGGAACCCCTCACCTGACCCAGCGATGCTGGTGAGCTTGCTTCGTTCCAGCGGCGGAGCCCATCTTGCCCAAATTGTAAACTGCCCTGTCCAAGCCATTCCCTAAAATGAAACTAGTTAAGACCTTGGGTCACTAGTAGAATTCAGGAATCTGCACTGCATTCAGGGACGAGCCTCTCTGGATACCTGGGCCATGCCCTGGGCTGTCCGAATCACAATCACCAAACTCACTCCCCAGTCAGCAGCCAGCGGGGTGAAGAGGGTGAGAAGGGAGGAGATGAGCAGACCGGCACCCAGCATCTGCTTCGCTCCAAATATGCCCGCCAAGTAGCCGCTGGGGATCAGCGTCAGTATAATCCCGTAGCTGATGGAGCTGAAGATGAGGCCCTGGGTCTCAGGGCTCCATTCATACACAGAGGTCTGGGGAAGAAAAAAGGGGTGTTCTTTGCTAAGAAAGTCGGTTTAACATTCAGAGCTGCTGGCAGTTAGGGAGACCCTACTATAAAAGATCAAATTTGATTTTTCTCTATTTGTTATCTAACTTAAGTATGCCACCTTTTCCAAACAACCAATTATACTCTGAATCTGCTCCTCTCAGAGGAATAAAAAACAGAGGAAGTAAAGGAGAAAAGAGACAAAGAAATGATTACGAAGTGGGTGGTAGGAAGATGTAGGTGAAAGGATCCTCTCTGGGCCCTGGCCGGTTTTCAGCCTGTGGAAAAGAGTCGCGAGTTCGATTCTGGTCAAGGGCACATATCTCAGTTGTGGTTCATCCCCGGCCCTGGTCCGATCGTGCAGGAGGCAACCAGTCAATGTGGCTCTATCATGTCGATGTCTCTCTCTCTCTCTCTCTCTCTCTCTCTCTCTCTCTTCCTCCCTCCCACTCAATCTGATGATAAATAAAAAAAACAGCCAGGCTGGTGTGGCTCAGTGGTTGAGTATCGACCTCTGCACCAAGAGGTCTCTGGTTTGATTCCTTATCAGGGCACATGCCCAGGTTGTGGGCCTGAGCCCCAGTGGAGGACATGCAGGAGGCGGCCAGTGGATGTTCTCTCTCATTGATGTTTCCATCTCTCTCCCCAAAAATCAATAAAGGAAAAAAAATTTTTTTAAAGAAAAAAAATATTTGTGGGTGAAGAATAAAAAAAAAGAAAGGAGATAGCGAGAGATACATCGTCTGTGGAAGAGCTCTCTTTACCTATTTTGCTTCTGGTAAAGCTGGGTGAAATGTTGACTCTCATTTCAAAGAATAAGGAAGACACAACCCCACTGAGCTCTCATCAAAGTCAGTCCCTAACATCAGGTTTATGAATGATGGTCTGTCCTCACCAAGCTGATTTCCTAAAACATGTATTATACATTAATAAGGTAACATTCTTCTTCTAACCTAACACATCATTTTTTTTTTTTTTTTTTTTTTTTTTTTTTATCCTCACCCGAGGACATTTTTCCATTTTTGTTCAGATAGAGTGGGAGAGGGGGAGAGAGAGAGAGAGAGAAACATCGACGTGAAAGGGACACATCGAGTGGTCGCCACCCACACGACCCAACCAGGGCCGGGGACAAACTGCAACCGAGGTACGTGCCCTTAGCGGGAACCGAACCCGGGTCTCTCCAGACCACAGGCCGATGCTCTAACCGCTGAGCCAAACCGGCCAGGGCCATTTTTGATAGCCCATGGATATGAAACACCATGTTATAAATTGAAATAGAGAGCCCCAAAATGTAAAATATAAAGTATTTTGTCCACTTAAAATAAGCAATGGCCCTGGCCGGTTTGGCTCAGCAGTTGGAGCATCAGCCCGTGGACCAGAGAGACCCGGGTTCGGTTCCCACTAAGGGCACGTACCTTGGTTGCAGTCTGTCCCCGGCCCTGGGTGGGGTCGTGTGGTTGGCAGCCACTTGATGTGTCTCTCTCACATTGGTGTTTCTCTCTCTCTCTTCCTCCCTCTCTCCCTTCCGCTCTATCTGAAGATAAATGCAAAAGAGTTCTTGGGTGAGGTTAAAAAATAATAATAATAAGTAATGGAAGATATATAATTCCTGTCAGAATCCAGGCTTCAAGATGTGTGCCAGTAGAATAGGGACTCTGAGGAGAGGGACGGGAACTTGGGAAGGTCCCAGGAAGGCAGCCGTGCTGTGAAGAATGACTCTGATTTGTGTCAAGAGAGACAGGAAATTTCATTCTCATGGCAGAAAACAGAAAAGGGGACTCGTCACGTTTGGAGTGACACCAAAGGACCAGATGTGAACTCGGCTGGACTTGCTCCAAGCAGAGCCATCCCCGGCCCCGGCAGAGGTGCGCGTGCCTGGGATTCTCGAGCACGGGAATGAATGACATGTGGGATGAATGACAGAGAAGCCGTCGTAAGCAGGCCGAGCCCACGGGAGTGAAATCATGACTACAGGACGGTGTGATGTGACAGTTGGTCCGGAGGAGCATCCAAACCACAGACAGGTAAGCAGGAAGTAATGCTGAAAACGATGTTCAATCAGTGGCCAAACCGCCTTCTTCCACTGCGGCGCAAGTGGAGGGGACTCGGCTGACTTTCCACAGGGCACATCAACCTGCAGAGCCACGGGCAAGAATCGTTCGAGTCACCATTTGCCTGTGGAACTGAAACTAAAACGGCTCAGAGACCTGACAGGTGCAGGCAGGGACCCGGTGGAGCACACACCGCACGCGACTGCACTTCCACGGGGCACCCGGTAATCGGGACCTTTTTAGAAGTTCACAGTTGTAAAGATAATAACCTCAATGAAAGATTATTTTTAGCATAGAATTCAGCAATAGCTCAAAGAAAAATTATTTGGGTTCTAAAAAGTTTGTCACTGAAAATTCATGCTTTTCAACTTCCGGTCAGGATGGCGGGTAGGTAACCGCAGTCTCCCTCCTCCCACAACCACATCAAAACTACAACTAGCCCTGGCCAGTTTGGCTCAGCGGTTAGAGCGTCGGCCTGCGGTCCGAGAGACCCGGGTTCGGTTCCCGCTAAGGGCACGTACCTCGGTTGCAGTTTGTCCCCGGCCCTGGTCGGTCGTGCGGGTGGCGGACGCTCGATGTGTTCCTTTCACATAGGTGTTTCTCTCTCTCTCTCTCTGTTCCTCTCTCTCCCTCCCACTCTACCTGAACAAAAAAATGGGGAAAAAAAAAAAAAAAAAACTACAACTAAACTACAGAACAACCATCCTTCAGAGCCACCAGACATCTAGCTGAATGAAGTCCTACAACTACGACACTAAAGCAGCCACATGGAGACTGGTAGGAGGGGCAGAGGCAGATGGGCTGGTCCCACACCCACGTGTGGTGGATAAAAGTCAGGAGGACACCTTGGCTGGGAAGGTCCACCCTAAGGACTGAGGGGTCCCCGTCCCACACCAGGCTCCCAGCTCAGGGTCCCAGTGCCAGGGAGAGAATCCCCATCACTTCTGGCTGTAAAACCGGCGGGAACTGAGGCTGAGGGAGGCTGAGGCTGCTGGAGCCCCAGGCAGCTCCTCTTAAAGGGCCCACACATGGACTTACTCGGACTTGCTCCCTCTGGGCTCCGTCATCAGAGAGGCAGCTCGAGGGGCACCAGAGACAAATGGGGAAGAACTGAGTTGTCTGGAATAGGGGAGAGGACTGAAGGGGCAGGTTTCTCCCAGACAGACGTATTGGTGGAGGCCGTTGCTCCTTTGGTGAGCCCTTCCCCCATAGGGTAGGCAGATATCTGGGACTCCAGCAACCTGGCTCACACTCTTTGCCCTGCCCTGGTGATTCCCTGAGGCCCTGCCCCACACAACTTTCAGTCCCACCCATGCTGTTTCCAGTGGCTTTACCATAGGATTGGCCTGTTTTGGCTCCTGCTTCAGATTTTCCTAAATTCTCTCAAACAAGCAGTCATCTGGTCTCAGCGAGCCCTATACCTCTTGCTAAGTGGCCCCAGGCCTGGCACTAGAAGCAGCCAAACTTGGTTCACAACTTAGCTTTTCCTGGGCACCTCCAAGCCCAGCACAAGCAGCAGCCATCTGCAGATCACTTTGTAGCTTATGCCTGGTGGCCCCGGACAGAACACAGGCAGTGGCTGACCTTGCCTCTGAGCCAGCACACCCAGTAGACAGCCTTAGACCATGTCAAAGTACCACCACCCAACCACCTCCACAAGTGACACACTCAATGAGTGGACTCAGTGGGTACCAGAGCCCTGCTGAAGTAAGTCTTGCTCTGTGTGGTGGGCCCCTGTACAGCTGATCCTCCAAAGTAGTCAGAGGCCAGTGGTCAGTGGGCACAGCCAGTCCTTGCAGCTGATCAGCCTGAGTAAATCCCTCCCATTGATGTGCCAACAGCAATCAAGACTCCGTTATAACAGAAAGAGTACAGTCCACACTAGGGGTACACCTCAAGGGCCCAGCTGGGTGACCAGGGCGGCTTTGCCACTGGACCCTACAGGACATCTACTACAATAGGCCACACTAGGAAGCCCAGGAGACATAGCAACTCTACCTAATACATAGAAACAAACACAGGGAGGCAGCCAAAATGAGGAAACAAAGAAGCATATCCCAAATGAAAGAACAGAACAAAACTCCAGGAAAAGAATTAAATGAAATGGTGATAAGCAATCTAACAGATGCAGAGTTCAAAATACTGGTTATAAGGATCTTAGTGAGGGTCTCAAGAGCATACAAACAGACCAGTCAGAAATGAAGGAGGCACTAACTAAAATAAAGAATAATTTACAAGGAAACAATAGTAGAGTAGGTAAAGCCAAGAAGCAAACCATCGACTCAGACCATAAGGAAGCAAAAACACCCAATCAGAACAACAAAAAGAAAAAAGAATCCAAAAAAATTCTTTGTAAGAATCCTCTGGGACAACCAAGCATACCAACATTCACATCATGGAGGTGCCAGAAGGAGAAAAGAGAGAGCAAGAAATTGAAAACCTATTTGAAAAAATAATGACAGGAAACTTCTCTAACTTGGTGAAGGAAACAGACATACAAGTCCAGGAAGCACAGAGAGTCCCAAACAAGATGAACCCTTAGAGGCCCACACCAAGACACATCATCAAAATGCAAAAGGTTCGCCCTGGCCGATTTGGCTCAGCAGTTAGAGTGTTGGCCTGTGGTCCAGAGAGACCTGGGTTTGGTTCCCTCTAAGGGTGCATACCTTGGTTGCAGTTTGTCCCCAGCCCTGGTTGGTCATGCGGGTGGTAGCCACTCGACGGGTCCCTTTCACATCGATGTTTCTCTCTCTCTCTCCCTCCCACTCAGTCTGAACAAAAAATGCAAAAAAGTTCTTGGGTGAGGATAAAAAAAAAATGCAAAAGGTTCAAGACAAAGAGAGAATCTTAAAAGCAGCAAGAGAAAAGCAGTTAGTTACTTACAAGGGAGCTTCCTTAAGACTGTCAGCTGATTTCTCAAAAGAAACTTTGCAGGCCAGAGGGAGTGGCAAGAAACATTCAAAGTAATGAAAAGCAAGAGCCTACAACCAAGATTACTCCATCCTGCAATGCTCCATTTAGAATAGATGGACATTTAAAAAAGTTTCCAAGACAAGAAAAAGCTAAAGGAGTTCATCACCACCAAACCAGTATTATCTGAAATGTTGAAGGGTCTTCTTGAAGAAAAAGATAAAAAAAATAGGAATAATGAAATAGCAATAAATACATATCTACCAACAATTTTATAGATATACAAAGAAAATGAACAAGAAGAACAGAAACAGACTCATAGATATAGAGAACTTTGTGTTGGTTGCCAGATGGGAGGGGCTAATGGGTGAAACAGGTGAAGGGATTAAGAAGTATAAATTGGTTGTTCGACTGACAAACCTCAAAGGGAAGGGGGGACAGGAAGAGATAAACCAAAGAACTTATAAGCATATATGCATAACCAATAGACACAGACACCAGTGTAGGGAAGACAGGAATGGGGTGGGAGCAGGAAGAAGGGGGGTCAATAGAGGAAAAAGGGGGGACAGCTGCAATACATTCAACAATAAAGATACCTTAAAAAAAAAGAAAGAAAAGTCATGCTTCTCAATCCACAAAATCAAGATCAAAGTCTTCACCTCTCAACCTGGGTTTTCCCTCCTGACCAAGAACCTGTTCTCCATCCCACTTACCCCTGTGTTGAATTCCTTGGTAGATCTGCTGGGGCCCTCGAGGGCACCTGCAAGAGGTCTGTCAGTGGAGGCGTTGGCAGGAGTGGGCTGCTGAGTGCTGTTGACCATGGCAATGATCGCAATGCTCAGACTCACACGCTGGGTCATTATGGTGAGGTTGGAGAGGTGCATGACCACAGCTAGTCCATAGCGTAATGAGCAGAAGTCTGGGCCTAGGGAAAGACACAGGAGAATGCTGGGAGATCCTGGCTGAGAACGCTTCTCCTACTGAGAAAACAATGCAGTGACCTCGCTTTCCACCAAAATGACCAAGACTGCAACCCTCCTTTGCATTTCCTTTGGCTTCAAGATAATGAACCTGGGATCTTATAATCAAGTAAAACAACTATGGGAGCAGATGATAAATGTAGGAAAACCTAATTTTATATCACATTGCTCCGAAATGAAGTGATGGGGGAGGTGGCAGAGCTGCCTGTCAGTGGTGTCATCTGGTTTGCATTTTCCTTTACCCCAAATCTTGAAAGTTTATACTAGGCAGTTGCCTTTGAATGAAGCTAGTCAAATATCCAGGATATTATTTTCATTATTTTTTATTATGTATTGATTTTTAGAGAGAGAGAGAAACATCGATTTGTGGTTCTGCTTATTGATGCATCACTGGTTGGTTCTTGCACATGCCTGACCTGGGACCAAACCTGGAACCTTGGAGTATCTGGCCGACACTCTGACCCATTCAAGAAATTTTAAAATATTTGAGGATAGAGCATAAACAAGCACTTACATGAACTCAAGTGTGATGTTCACTTGGAAATATTATTGTTGTGTGTCACCAGGACCTGCCTTTGTATACATTCAGTTTTTTAAAAAAATTCTCATGGAGAACCATTGTTACTGAGTTTGTTGGTGATGGGCTAGTGGAGGAGTATTCAGTATGTTACAAGATCAATTTTTTTAAGTCCCCCTGACATGGAACAATGGGCTAGTACTGAATGATTCCTATATGAATGACGGAGACACACACACACATTTGGAGAACTTGGAATAAAGAGAAACAAGAGAACCTGTGAGGAAACAGATGAAAATATAATGGCAGAATCCTTTCTAATGTCCAGTTGGCTCAGAGATGGGATTGGTTGCCTGCAAAAGAATTATTTCCTTCTTACTGGAGATTCCCAAGCTCAGAGGACACAGCCAGCTGCCTGGCAAGGATACCATAGCAGGGATTCATGCATAGATTGGGGCTGGTGTAAAATGACTTTTTAAAGACTCATTCCATTCCTTATGTCCCAGGAGTTACTGATCGTTTGGCTTAATTTCAGATCAATAACTCAGCTGGGTTCCCTAAGGAAGAAGCAAGAGGTCACAGGGCAGGGGCTGTAGCTGGTTCCTTTCTGCATCGAGAGTCTCTGCAAGGAGGGCGTGCAGGCAGGAGGAGGAGGGCAGAGCGAGGGTGTCCGCTCTTCCACAAGGCCGCTGCCAACGTGCCAGGTGCCTTTACCTTTCCTGGTGGACGGCTTCTCGTCCATGTGGCTCCTCTGTGAAATGGCACCACGGTTTTGGCAGAGGTCCCCGCTGCCCCGAATCTCTTTTACCACGGCAGGCTTTGATCTACGGGGAGAAGAACAACCCAAACGTGACACACAAATCACTTTTTCCCGCTCATCTCGCCTCTCGCATCAGTGAGCACTCCATTCAGCCCTGTACGGGGCAGGTCACAGTACACAGTCCTGGCGATGCTCATGGGGACTCGATTTCCACAAGCAAGTCTGGCTGTCAGCCCAGCGGTGTCCATTCTCTGCCCATCCCTGGCCTCCCCTGTTCCGAGTGGGGCTGTAACAATTAGGTTAGAAAATTGCAGACCACAGAGAACCATGCAAAGGTGAGGACTGTAAGGGCTTGCAGTCCGTGGGAAGACAGGAAGGTTAAATGAAGCTCAAGAGCTGAGGGGAGTCCAGCTGGTGTGGCTCAGAGGTTGAGAGTTGACCCATACCAAGAGGTCCCAGGTTCAATTCCCAGTCAGGGCACGTGCCCAGGCTGTGGGCCCGATCCCCAGTAGGGGGCATGCAGGAGGTGGCCAATCGATGTTCTCTCTCATCGAGGATGTTTCTGTCTCTCTCCCCCTCTCCCTTCCTCTCTCTAAAATCAATAAAGAAAAAAGGCTGAGAGGAGATGCCCTGGAGCAGCCCTCTCTCTACCATCAGGACTGTGTCCCATGGTTCATCTTTGGAAAGACTATGTTCATAACACTTGTATGTATTACCTTTAAAAGTTTAAAATGTTTAGTCTTGTCTCTGCTACACACAATTTGGACACTTTGTCGGACTGCAAAGGTCTTCATATCACCTATGAAATTATACTGAATGAGGGCTTCTAGGAATAAATCCAACTATTTCGACAGGTAAAGAGATTTTATGAGCCCCTAAAGAGACAGAATTTGTATTTATGCACCAGTCAAACTCCTTTTGGAGAGACCTATACTTCTGGGAACCATTGTCATCCTAAGAATATTGTCAATTTTGCCACTTTTCCTAGATGGAAGGACCCGTGGCTTTGCAAATGCACAGGTCAGGCTCATGCTTCATCATTCAAAGCTTTGCATTTTTTCTGAACATATCAGACTCATCCACACCCATGAGGATATTCATAATCTATGACCTCCGGGTGAAGAATCATCAGGAAAGATACAGATGAAGAACTTTGCCCCCCACCAAATTCTTTGCAGTATTCGCTATTATCGCACAACATTGGAGAGAAATGAACCTCACATTAAGGGTTTGGTGCGTCAGTGTTAATAGATACTCATGATGGACTTTATTAAAATGTTCTCAAAGGTGCTGAACAACATTATGGAAATGCGTGTGCTCTGTGTACAGTGCAGGCACTGGGCCCAAGTGGACACGTGAGCATCCCCAGAGAGAAACAGGCCCACACAGGTGCCAGCAGGGGCTGCCTCTGGCTTACAGAGCATGGTGGTCACATTATTCTTCATGACTTTCCATATTTACCAAGTGGTTTTTTGTTTTACAGTTAGTAGATACTCATATCTAGAGGAAGCTACGTGTCTTTCGAAGAACATTGACTCGGAGCCGTAGCACGGGCAGCGCCCTTTTCTGCTTGCCAGATGTCTCTGGAATTCTGGGACTCATATCTCCCCATCTAAGTTCTGAAATTTTCTTCTTTGATTACAATGAACCTAAATAGATGCCCAGTTCTAACAAGACAAGATCAGCAGCAGGAGGCAGACTGGCGTTTGCTCAATCTTGCTGGGCTCTGCATGATACCAGGTCAGTCCAGCACCCCACACCTGGATCCCAGCTGGAGCAAACTGGAAACGGACACCTGGTTGCCTCAGAGTCACACCATTTTCTGTTTGATTTCCCTTGTGATATAAGATCCCAAGACTTGTCTGAAGGCAACTCTCTAAATGCACCTGCAGCTACAATAATGCACAGCCCACTTAAAGCTTTCTCACCAACATCTGCAAAATTCTTCTAAACACTGAACGCCATGGCTCAGAGACTCAGATTCTCTGGCCCAGCTGCTCATTTTATTGATGAGAAAACAAGTTTGCAAAATTGCCTCATGTCACAGACTTGACTGAGCCAGCACCAGTCCAATGCCAGCTGGTGCTTTTCCTGTTAATACAACTTCCTGTTGATGTTCATGTTTTAAGCACAAGTGTATTTTAAGTGCACCAGGGTAGCTTCATTGGAGGTATACAAGAAAGAAACTGAAATTATTTTAATCCAGAAGGAAATTTGATGATACAAAAACTTTCAGGCTGAGCTTTGAATACTTAAAATAAATAAATAAATAAAAGTGACTACTTGTCCCTGCTTTTTTGGTTCGTGAAATCGTATCACAAACCAGCACTTCAGCTGCCTTTCCCATCCTATCTATTGCCACCCCAGCCATAATGTTTATGGTTCTTTGAATTTTTGATAGCTAATTTTGGTTGTTGATTCCCCTGTCTTCTTTGCATGAGACCGACAAGAAAGCAGGCGGACATCCCAAATCACTCTCAACCAAGGCTTTCTGTGCTGCGGAGTGGAAACTGTTTTTCCCAAATATACACAGAAGCATGAAAGCATGGGCCTGAGCATCAGTGTAACTGATATGCACAGAGACAGTGGAATGAGCCTTAGCCCAATGGTAAACATCATCTAGGACCTGTCCACTTAGGAGGGACACCCGTAAAACAGAGAACCCTCAAGTCACGGCTATAAGTAGACAGAGAAAAAATGGAAGTGAAATTAAGTTAAAGGAAAATACTATACTTTAAAAATAGCCTGGCCGGTGTGGCTCAGTAGTTGAGTGTGACCCACGCACCAAGAGGTTACTGGTTTGATTCCAGGTCAAGGCACATGCCCAGGTTGTGGGCCAAATCCCCAGTGAGGGGCATGCAGGAGGCCACCAATCAATGTTCTCTCTCATCGATGTTTCTTCTCTCTCTCCTTCTCCTTTCCTCTCTCTAAAATCAATAAAGGAAAAAAAATTTAAAATAATTTTGATGCAATATTGAGGTGCATTTGATATAAAATTGATGATCTAGACAGTATGGTTTGTGTATAAGAAAAAGAATAGTTATTTTCCTATTCTTCTTAATTTTACACTTCCTGTTTTTCTGTCACAGTCTTGTTATTGCCCTTAGATTTCCCCTAATCGTCTGCCTGTCTTGCGTCACTTCTATTAGCCAAGTCTCCACGTTTACTCAGAGTAAATGTTAACGTGGTTACAGAGCAAGAACCCGCAGTTCAAAGGCTGCCCGGCCTCCGAGCCTCTGCCATTCTGGGAATGAGGTCGCAGAGGAGCAGAGCAGGTTCCACAGCTCCCAGAACTTTACTTGCCTCCCAGGAAACGCGGGCCAGTGAGGGGAACAAAGGTGAGACAGGCCCCTCACCGCGAGGTGTCACTCGGTACTGTCAGCAACGATAACAATGGACAGATTTCCAAGTGGAGGCTTACAGCAAATACATGTTTCTGTAAAAATGCTTTTGATTGTTAAATAGGTTTTAAACTTATCCTTTTACAAGTGGGTCCTGGCGGACTAGAATCCGCACGCGGGACGAGGAGGGATACACCGGGCGCAGGCTTCAGAGAAGGCGGGACACGTCGTTTCCTCCGTGCCAGTGAGACTGCCTACCTTTCGGAAGTTGGGTGCTTCTGAAATAAAACTAGTTATTTTGGTAGATTATTTATGTCATGTTATCAATTCATATGTGAATGTAATCATGAAAGAAAGGTGTTCGGAGCACCAATAATGCAGTCCTGGAAGGCAGACTTACGCCAATATTAAGGTACGATGGACGCTGCCGTGGGGGACTCAGCTCAGCTCATCGCCCATGCACCTCTCCTCCGAGTGCTACTGTGGGCTCTGTCTTCCAGGCCAGGATGAGCCCAGCTGGCTTTCCTCTGGGCTTCCTTCCCGCCAGAGCACCGACCACAGTCTATCTGGACTTTCCCCCCAGCTCACAAGCCGGGTGCTCTCTACCGGGGTGCAAGTTCTCTTGCCTTCGATCTTACTCACAATGTTGTTCATATTCTCCGTTCCTGGAGAGACAATTTCAAATCTATAGAGAACTCTGAAGACTCATTTGTCCCAGTGCCCAAATCGAAACCTTGTTAGTTGTGATCCAGTATTTTATTTCTCCGCCAGAGCCGTTCAATGCACCACGGTGTCAAAATTGACAGCCCTCAGGGAAGCCGCCACGGTCCATGAGGTCCACTGATAATGGTGGCTCCTCAAGCCCTGCGCTAGGGTCTTGGTTGACTGATCATCCTTTTTAGAAAGTCTCTTCATTTTAGAACCAGAAACCGTCCCAGATGGAGGGCCTTAGGCTCCTGCTCAGATTCTCTCTCTGACTTGCCCTCAACCAGCTCCCTCCCTCTACTGGATCTCTCATTCATTAGCAATTATTGTCCGACCCAAAAAGAAGAGAAGCACTTACCTTCACCATTAAACCAGTCTTTTAAGCCCTCACTATAAGGCTACCCTGAGGTTGTTTCCGTCCCTTCTCCCCTTTCAAACAGTTCTGAAGTTTCACAAAGACAAACAAGACCACGTGGCAAGCCAACAGCAGCAGGTTGGAGAGCCTGAGTCTGGCTCTGCTGCTTAATTTTTAACTTTACTTCCACATTCTCACTGATAGAATGTGTATCTCAGAAGATGACGCCATGTTTTTCTGCCTTCAACTGTGCATAAGGCTGAAAAAGTCAGTAGGACTTCCCCAAAAGGAAGGCAGTGTGGGGTCAGAGAGGTACAGTCAAGCCCACCTTCTAGTGTTTTCTGTGGCCTGGGACAAGTCACTTAGCCTCTCTGGACTGGTTTCTACATCTGTAAAGAAGGGCTGTGACGCTCAACTCGTGGGGTCACTGGGCAAATTGAATGAGGTACAAATGCTAACTGGAGGCGGAGCTTCAATAAGTGAGATTCCCATAAAGGGTCCTGTTATCTGCGGCCCAGTAGCCTAGTGAACTTTGGCTACTGTGATATCTTCCTGAGAAACCACCCTGCGCCCTTCCTTCC